CTTGGCCTACTCTTCCACGTTGCCCACACGTCGTGAAAGAGGTGGGTCCACCCCACATTTTACCCCACCACCACTATAGCGACCCGCCCATGAACTGTTTTGTACAAATTTCTCTCGCTATTTGGACAGATGTTGGCGGGTGGAGTGGAGGGGGGAGATAAGTTTGCCCCATCGTTTCAACTGCCGCGCCGGGAGATGGAATCGAACTCGCAACCTCTGGACTGCAAATCCTGTAGCGCGCTGACCGTTACTCCGACCGGGGGCATCCTCGTCTGTGGCCTTGCCTTTTAAAGGAGAGCACTTTGGCTACTTGTGAACGCGGCACAAAACGTTACGACACAAAAGCACTCCACACGCAGGGGGATTAACTGCAATCACGGGGGGCTCCAGTACATCAATGGATTGGCTCGCTCAGCTTGGTGCTTGGCATGCACGCGCTCGACTTCTCAAGGGGTTGTCTGTTGCGAAATATCTACCGATGTGTGCAACTTGTTCGTCTGCCAGATGACAAAAGACTTTATCATCCAGAAAGAGCCTTAAGTTGAGAGTTCTCATCAGGGCCCCATGGTGGCTAACAGCACGTTCTCCCAACTGTTGGTCACTCAAGGCTCAGTGGCCTCCCCATCTCTCTGCCATGAGAGACGGGCCGATGCCTGTCTACTTGGCGGACCTGTTCTCCACCTTGACAGACCTGGTCTTCACCTGAGGACGGCTGCTTGCGTTGTGGCCGAAACGTCGTGAGGATTACTTTATTATGTTTTATTTTTATTATTTTATTACTTCCCTTCTACGTGACTTTACCGAAAGAACCAAGAAGATGAATCCCTGCAGTCACGAAAGCTTTAAATCGAAATTTAATGTTGGGGGTCTTATAATCCTGGTGACGCCTCTCAATCGAGAGGACACTTGTCCACAGCGATAGTTCGCCAGCCGCGAGGACGCGAGGACACGTCGCCGTCCCTCCGTTCAACACAACCTTCTGGAAGACATCTCTCCGCCATTCTCAGGCGGCGCGTTCGTAATCGTCTCCCGGAAGGCGGCTGTCCGTAGCAATTGCCGTGTTTCCCCCCAGATTAATAAAATACGTTGAAATTGTGAGCAGCAAAAAAAAAGAAAGAATTCTGAGAACGCGTCCGACTTTTCCGCATCGTCTAACAATCCGGAGAATGCGGCACTGCATGTGGAACATTTTCTCATCTTAAGGGGCAGCGTGACGGACCAACGTGTATTTAGCGTTTTGTTATCCACGCTCGCGCGCCCGCTGCCAGCGTTGCGTCGCAAACGAACGGCGACTCGGAGTCGGGGGGGGGGGGGGCAGGGGCATGAGATTGGAGCGAGGCTCTCCCAGCCGGGCCCCCCCTCCCTTCCCCGGCCCCCCACCGACTGCCCCCCCCCAACCCGGCGCTGGCGGTGACCTCGAAGAGGCGGCGTTTTGACGACCCTCCTAGCGGCGGGCCACCGGCAGCGGGCCCCCGAGATGCGGGAGAAATTCCGTTGAGCACGTGGATTCTATCGAGAAGTGCGCGTATCGACGGGCAACCCATCCGTGGAGATCATTTACTAACACCCAGTAGCGGGCGACTGTTCTGATGGAATCGCGCGATAAAAAATAACAACCCCTACCACACGCGCACACACGCGAGCGAGGAGTTGACCGGGTTTAAGAGAGGATTTTTAGCGTGTAGCCGATGTTCGGCGAGGAATGTTCGTGATGGCACAAAAGGAGCCGAACGGCATTTCCTCCTTGCATCACTTTCTGTTTCTGTGTTGCTATATAGGGATATGAGAAGAGCCGAGCGAAGAGAGAGAGGGGGTGAAAGAAAAAAAACACATGGGCTCCTTAAGATTCCTGAGATTCGGAGGAAATGCCTCGGGCTTAAAGAGCGTTGCACAAAGGCAGCGGTGAGACGCGGCGATTGTTATGCTGACGTTTGGCACAAACCGCGCACGAGGAGTGACTTGCCAATGCATTATGGGTGTGTCGGCCGGCAGGGGAGTCAAGGCGCATTGATGACTATCGATTAGCGTCGATCGTTGAGCTTCAGCGATGCTGCCGTGGTTGTAATGGTCAGCACACCGCACTTGCAACCACACAGGTCACCGGTTCAGCGGTTGAAACAATTGGACAAGTTTCTTAAACCCACCAATCTCCCGCAACCACCCCCCCCCCCCGACTTGTCCACCCAGGGCTACAGTTTGTTGATCACCATCTTCCTCTTTCGTACGGCTGCTCATGTAGATGCAGAGCAATGATTACGATTTCAAGAGTGTATCGCTGACCGACAGGTCGTGTGTGGGGTTCGAGCAAAGTGTGGGAAAGTACAATCTCTTCTAAGATGTGTGGCCAGCGTGGAAGAGGAGGCCAAAACATCCTCTAGAGGAGGTCAATAGAGGTCCTACTAGTGGAGGCCTTTCTGCCAGCAGTGGCACGAGCAGTCGGTTGTCGGTTCCGCGCGTTTTCCTTCCAGCACGCGTCGATCGGTACGCGAGAGTAAACCGTCGTTCAGATGTTTGTAAACGCTGCCACGTGTGAAGTGTTGGGAACTTGCGTCGCAAAATCCGCAGCCACTGGAGGTGCCAACATTCGCCGGAATGTAAAAAGGAGAAAAAAAACCACCCCACATTTTATTCGTTCATCGAATTGCGATTTGACAATCTGTTGCGTCTTTGGCGGTGAGCATTAGTCGTTGAAATCTCGATCTCCCCGCGTTGATTTCCTTCTGGTTATTTTTCCGGCAGCGACTCAGGGGCCCAGCGGGGGCAGCGCCGCGGCGCAGAGGTACCGCGGTTCGAATCCGGCGGCCGAACCTCGTGCCCGACGTTTCGCTCCCCGCGCTGGAGCCTTTTTCCTGTGGACCGAATTCAGTTCGTGTCCAAGGAGCGCACAGCACGTCGAACGAAACATCGAACATTGTGCCGGTAGCTAGGCAGTTGTTGTTATTATATCGGCATGTGAATCTCAGAAAAGTCAAAGTAGCTTCCCCTGAAACTAATGAGGGGTAGGGCTCTCCTTCTTCTGCCTACAGCTCTGAGCCAGTGTTGGAAATTCCACTATACCATGGCGGGGCCGGGTCTATCCAGGGAGCAACCGCTGCTGACTTCCAGAACCAAGAACTGACGCTTGTTTCATCGATCCTGGATAAAGAAAGTCACAGTCAATACAACCTCAAAAGGGCAATTTAACTCGCGACTTTCAAATTTGTTAACCAAGCGGGTTACGTATCAAAGCGATCTAATTTTAGAACACCTCAGATAAAAAAAAGGGTCTAAAAATGACGCCGCTTATGACTCAGCACGATGCCGGCTTCCACACGTGGCCGTGCCCCGCATCTTGTCTTTTGGTGATGACATTGCCGGAGCTTTGGTGGCCCTGCGCTGCCGAATGGCGGCGTAGTGGCCTGCGTGAGCATTCCAAAGCCTCCCTCCCGCCTAAGAAGTTAATTCGGCGAAAAAAAAACCCAAAGGGGATTTGCCCACTTTACAAAATTGTGCTCACCGCAGCTGTCCTACTTTCGCGTGCCCTGCTGGTGGACCGCTCGCCTGAAAGCCAGGTGTTTAATGGGCGTGAAGACGTGAGGACACGCAGACAATTACGTTACTTCACAGGTTTGATATTTAGGTCGTCAGGGTGTTGCAAACCGTTTCATTCTCCGCATCGAAGCAATCTCACGCCGCCGTGTGCGTACATGTCTTCAATAGGTGTCCGCCAACAGCACTTGCCCCAAAATGTATGCTAAGGCTACACGGGAGACCTCTGTTTTGTGTACACGTATGTTTGTTTCCCAGGGAAGCGGTAATGTAGTGGTTAGCCGCACTGCACCATGAACCCGGCGTCCCGAGTTCGATTCCCGCTCACGGCCAACATCGGTGACGAATATGTGAACAGGTCCCGGGCCTTCCCTAGGTCGACTCAGCCTTAAATGGGTACCTGGTGCAGTGTGGTAATACAACGGCACTGGCCACACCACCCCCTCGTGTGCCATTCTATTCTTCACAGCTGCTCGCTCACAGCACTTGCCCCAGAAGTCTGGTAATGCTATGGGGGTGGGGGGGGGTATTATGTGTACATATGCCAAGTAAAGTATGTGTGCATAGGGTGCGCGGTGGCGGAGTGGTTTACGCTCCCCATTACATTTTTAGATATCAGTGACTCAGGTTTACGTTATGTGGTTGTGAAAATATCAGTGGCATTAGAAGCTGTCCTGGAATCCCCCTTGGTTAAACCCAGCCCTGAACGAGTGTGCAAACATCAGCACGGGGGAGACAAAGGTGGGTGGGTAACATCATCTTCTTGTGTGCCATAACCAGCGTTAATACACGCTGGCAGCACGTGTCCCAACGTTCGTTTAGGCTAACTGGGTAAACCTTTCGTATGAAGTTATGTTTGTTGATACAGAGCAATTGCTAACATGGGGAGAGGAAGAGATACTTTCAGCAGCACCTGTTGTAACACTGCTCCTACACACAAAACATAATGGCACATTATTTACAATCCCTTGTCAATTTACTGCTGGATGAAAGCCTTTCCCGTGCTGTTTTGGCTTATATAGCGGTTGTTTGAACATACTTCACCACGCTGGTCAGTGCGCATTGGTGAAAAGGGGGGTGGGGGGTGGGGGGTGGGGCAGGAACGATTGAAATGTCACTCGCCACTGACGTTACAGCCGTGGTCGGGAATCATTCTCAGGTGGTCGAACTCGCAGCTCGGCGAGCTAAGCGCTGCGCCACCGCTCCAGCTCACTCGCCAAGTGGCACATTCAATGGCAGCAACGGTAGTCTCAAAGGTAGATAAAACGTATAGGGAAAAAGCGAAGAAGAAAATGCGGAGAGGTGATAAACAGATCGGCGGAGGTTAGAAATTAAATCACGTTCGGTGAGAGAGGTGAGCCCTGGCCAAGTGGGGCACTGCGCAAAACCGCCCGCCCACCCACGCACCTCCGGACCCGCTCGGTCTATGCGGGAAATGAATGGAAATTCCGCGCACGTTGCCGGCGCGTTACTTTTTCGCGTGGTGCCACCCTCCGGGCCAGTTGAGGGCCACGTCGCACGAGCCGTCCATCAGAGAGCCGGCGGCCGCCAGCGTCCCTCCCGCCACGGACGCCGCGCACTCGAACACGCCCTCCGTGGTGGGGCAGTCGTAGCCTGCGGTACCGCACACACGCACCGCACAATGTATTCACCACACACACCGCACGATATATCCACCGCACACACGAACCGCACATGTGCACCGCATGTTTCCAATGCACACACGCACCGCGCATAGACACAACGTATCCACCGCACACACGCACCGCACACACACACACCCAACATACCCACCACACACTTGCACCTTACCGCACACACGCACCGTACGCACCGCACACACGCACAATGTATCCACCGCAGACATGTATCACACAAGCGCGCCGCACATACGCACGAGGCCGCGTTTAGAGATGACCCCTTCAGAGACTTCTGTCTGGCCAGCGTTGAAGAGGAGGCCAAAATACCCTCCTCCGTAAAGGCTCTCTCGTGCTTCCTCGAGTGGAGGGCCCTTCCGCCAACAGTGGCACGAGCAGGGAATTGCAGGGCTGCACCTTAATAATATATTCTTTGCATGCAGATGGCAGCAATTCGTCCACCGCGACCAGAGGAGTGAACACCGCTCGTAGTGCCCTTGAGACCCAGAATTTTGTTATTTTATTGATATGTTCGCGGCCTCTGTTTAAAAAGCTGGAAATCTCAGCACTACGCATCCCCCCACCGCTCCGGCCCCTCGCCCCCCCCGCCCAGCTCGATCTGCTGTCGAGTTATAATTCGTGAATAATGGACGACGACAACACTTGCCGTGGACACCCTGTGCCACGGCTAATACGGTACATTGTGGCTTCTGGGTCAAGCTGCCACCTCTGACGTGTGATGGGATAAGATGATCTCACAGTAGCGAGGGAGGGGAGAACCGCACGGAAGTGCATCGTCTTGGGTGGCGTATGATTATTATAATTTCACTGGTCAACACACTTTTTCTGGCATAAGGTATTCCAACGGTCTTAAGGTAATTTTGGGGTGCTGATTCAAAATCTGGCATCAGTTTTTGTCTATCACATCAGGATTTTGAGAAATCAAATATTGCATTTTCAATAAAAACTGCGGAAGAAAAATATTAAATAAATGTGGATATCTACATAAAATGATATTATAAACACACTATCCTACAATACAGCACCATATTTTAACACTAAAGTAGTCACTGACTCGCAACAACTTGCAATCATAAGTGACAGAGTTAATTTCGGGTAAAATCAATGAAAATGGTGTATGCCGATAACATAAAAATGAAATGTGATAGAGCAAATCTGAGATCAGATTTGGAATCAGCACCCTGAAATTAGTCTAAAACAGCTGCAAAAGTCCAGGCCAGAAAAACATGTTTTTTTTTATATTTAACCAGTGTTATTATTACAATTATTATTGATATTACTATTCTGCAACTGACAAGGAAACCAGGAGTGTTCACGCCCCGGGTAGACGAGGCAGATTTTCCCCAGGCAGCAGGCTGCTTCTTGTTGACCCAAGAGGACGATCCTGGGAAAACCGGGACAGGTGGCAACCTTCGCTGCTGAGTGTCGGCACCGGCGTACGTATGCATGCAAGACGTGCGTGACTCGTCGCTCCCCAGGTCACACACTGACGAACAATCAGAACGAGACAAACTGCTCAACGACGCAGGGGTGGCACCAGAACCCCCCCCCCTCTCTCGTGCCCCCCCCATCCCCAACCCCCTATCGCCCCCCCCCTTCTTGTGGCCCCCACTTCTTCCTGTGCACACCCCCCCCCCCCCATCCGTGCCCCCGCCAAACAACAGCAAAACACCGAAGCCCTCTCGACTTCAAACGTCCATGGAAACACTCGCTCGCGCGTCATTAATTCGATTTGTGTTGCTGAATTATTTATTTTGTTTGCAGGGCCACGCAGCGCACGCCAACCCATCGGCGCCGTGCGGGTGCTGCTCAATCCAACGAGCCGGCGACGAATCTGAACTCGACCCTCCGTTTGGGTAGCTCGCGCGAAGTGCGCGCACGCTCGCTCGCGTTCGGCGGAAAGGGGGAGATCGTTGGCCCGGCTGCGTGGGGAATTGCTCGAAGCGAAAAAAAAAACAGAACGTGTCGGTTATTTAATCGGATGTGATTTTAGCCAAGGGAACCCCTCCTCCTCAAATGCGCTGAAACATTTGTGCTGAATTTTACACGCGAAATTTAGTGTCGGCAGCCTCCTACCTATAAATGTCTATCCCTGATCTGGCCCAGTGCCCCTGGCCTCGCAGTGAGTTTGCACCACGAGGTTGCCACACTGTGTGGTGGGCTGTAGGCCCAAAGTAGCCAAGCAAAGGCTTAGGGTCCCCAAGCAATTCAAGGGGGCCTGGGATTCATACAAGAAATAGGGGCGTGTCAAATATCCGCTCGAATTCAAAACTGAATAAAACATAACCCAATTCGCATAAATAACGTCATTAATATATCTCTATAATAGAGTTTTTTTGGGTTAGATCACGTAAATATATGTGTCGTTAAAACCCACCACCACCCGACATAGCCAACTAGTAAGGGTTGTCACGTAAACAGAAAATGGCAATTCATCACTAGTACAGCGCACACTATCTCGTCTGCATCTCGTCTCTAATTTTGTCCACATTTTATCTCATCTCACGAGGTACACCTCCATCGCTTCTCTATACTTCTGCTTCCATCTCCCTGTGAATTTAGTGAGATGGAATGAGAGAAGGGGAGTCTCCAAAAACGACTTCTGTTTTGGGCCCTGAATAGACCACAAGCACCACCACAACCACCACTGGCCACCGTGAACGGACGACGTCCTACTACGGACAACACCGTGCGTGTTGAGGCCTGCCGCAATGCCAACAACTCAATGCCGTCCACAGGTGCCGGATTAACCCACAGGCTAATAAAGGCTCAGGCCCTCATTTCGCAAGGCCCACATTGAGGCCCACCGTTTCACGTTGTTGGTAACAGCTGAGCGACGGTAGCGCGGCCATCGGGAACATGTTTCGTGTTTGGATTACGATGAAATCATTCGTGACTATGCCACAGCGGCTAAAGCTAGGAGAAAAAAAAACGAATGTTTGTTTGAAGAAATTAGTGTAGTGAGTGATTTACGTTTGATGACTTTGCCTTGAGTCAAATACACATGTTAATGTTACATAGGTAAATAAACACGTTGGGTGACTTCATCATTTTACTGTTGTTGCAATTATATGTAAGAAGGCATGCTTAATCCCATCCCTCCGATTACCATGAAGCCCCTCATAACCGCAATCCAGCCCTGGCCATCCACCACGGTGGTGGACACGAAGCAGCCACTCCATCTTCATGGCACAAACCAAACCAAACTTTAAAAAAACCAAGCAAAAAAAAATCGATGTTTTATTTTACCAGGAAAGGCTCACTAAGCTATACAGCTCTATTTCAGAAATGATTTGGCCACAAACGATAGCTCAACGAAGTGGTTTCTCGCGTGGAAATTTATAGCCGCCAAATACTCTAAATGCATGTTTATAAATGTGCAGAGAAAAAACTGGAGGAGCCAGAGAAAAACCCGCGCCACATGGCGTCACCACACTCACTGTGCGCACCTCATCCAGCAGTAGATTGATCATGGCTGCTGCTGATGGTGATGCGTGGGTTTGCGTGCGCACAAGTGGCACGCCGCTACGGACGGAATTGGTGCTGCCATGGAAATGCCGGTGTCCATCTGCCGTGTTCATTTCAACGTCTGTGCATATCCGTTGATCTATATCAATCTATACAAGATGAGATGATTTTCTTTCAACCTCTGCGTTTCTCCTGCCGATCGGCGCTTTCAAAACAAACAAAAAAACACCGTGGCGGCGGTGGCGGTGGCTCACCTGGGACATTTGTTTCTGCGCGTCACGCCGGCTGGAAAGCACGGGCGCTGGAGGGTTAATTTTCTTAGCGCGATCCCCCCCCCCCCCCCCCCCCGTGTGTTGATTCTGGGAACATTACTTATTCATTGCCAGTGGTTAATGTGTCAATGGCATTGGCACAGAGTGCTCCCTGCTACTCTCCTGCGAGCAGTGTCCCCGGATCGCTATCGGCCCGCAGACGACGAACAAACCACCCACTCTCTGGTAATTGGGCTCAAGGCGAGAGGGGGAGTGCTGGGGGGGGAGCTGGGAGGGAGAGCTGGGGGGGGAGAGCTGGGGTGGGGGGGGGGGGCTGGGGTGGGGGGGGAGAGCTGGGATGGGGAGAGCTGGGGTGGGGGGTGGGAGAGCTGGGGGGGGGGGGGGAGTGCTGGGGGGGGAGCTGGGGGGGAGAGCTGGGGGGGGGGAGAGCTGGGGTGGGGGGGGGGGAGCTGGGGTGGGGGGGGAGAGCTGGGGTGGGGAGAGCTGGGGTGGGGGGTGGGAGAGCTGGGGGGGGGAGTGCTGGGGGGGAGTGCTGGGGGGGAGAGCTGGGGGGGAGTGCTGTGAGGGAGAGCTGGGGGGGGGGGAGTGCTGTGAGGGAGAGCCGTGGGGGAGAGCTGGGGAGGAGAGCGGAGGGGGGGGGGGAGTGCTGGGGGGAGTGCCGGGTGAAGAGCTGGGGAGGAGAGCTGGGGGGGAGAGCTGGGGAGGGGGGAGAGCGGGGGGGGAGAGCTGTGCGCCTTAAAATAAAAATATAACAGGCGACGTTTCTGGCAATATCCCTTCTTCATGGCACGTAAATGGAGAAGCCAGAGAGAACAATTTTAGCCGCGTTGCTACGGACATTCCTGCGTTCAACATTGTGCGGCAGAAAAAAAAAACCTCCTTAAAAATGTGGTGACAAAAGTCAATAGCTATGCGGTTTGTGCCGGCAGCGGAGTGCAAGCGCGACCCCTGGTGGCTCATGGACCTCTCAGTGGAACGCGAACCCAGGCCCTGCTGGGAAGAAAAAAAAATGTGAGGTATTGGAGTGGGCCCTCATCATCACAAAGGGACAAGAGGCAGATTTCGGGCGAATACCAAACAGGAGAGAAGTGATTATTTGGTTCTTTCGGTTAAGTCACGTCTAAAGATAAAATAATAAATTAAATTAAATAATAGCATACGACGTTTCGATTGCAACACAAGCAATCATCATAAGGTATAATGAAATAGCGACATA